TTTTAGCTTTTAACTAAACATGTTTCACAATTTGTAGTAGTGACAAAGAGGCAAACCTGGAGTGTGAGAGCACTGGTATGTTTAGTCACCAAGAAGTTTGTTAAGTTTGCTGCATATGCTGTGGTAGAGTTAAGAAAAAGAAGAAGCCACATAGATTTATGGTCCTTTGTAAGCGTCAGTGTGACATCTACCACATTGGGTTCCATGATAAGAGCTGCAGGTAACAAAACTAGGATTGCGATTGGAGACATGTACAGGAGCAAATTCATCGAGTTCAACTTTTCCCTGTTAAGTTGAAGTATAAGAAACATTATTATAACCATTGGTACCAGCTAAGAAAAAGACTTATCCAGTTCTCGTTAACTAAGTCCAAGAGGAATCACAACTTCTGCTCATTGTCATACAGATATTATCATCTTGGAGAAACATAAAAGTTGCCACCAATTATTGCAAAAGAAATATCAGGGTATTAGGAGTTCTATTGTTCGTTTTCAATTGCATAAGAGCAATGGAGAGGAATAAAAAGAGAGAGAAAAGAAATGCACGCTTCTCAGGCAGGTGGCATTGTTCTACCAGCCAGTTTTTCATTCATCAAGTAACAATGATATATGAGAGAGTCTGTTTTGAAACAGAGTTAGATGACCTTCTTTACCAGAAAATGCTAGCATACTTCCAATAGAAAAGCTCACAACAGCACTTCTAACTGGTATCCAAACAAGTCCAAACATGCTTAATTACAAAAGTTGGTAAACAGGCCCTTGTTTTACCAAATCTAATATGTTTATCAATGACAACACCAATTACACTTTCCAGTATTTTATTAAAAAAAACTAAGATGTTGTATGAATTATGAGTCATGGCATCATACAAAGTAAGGTAAAAACTTCCTAAATACATCCTTCAATGGTTGTTTTCCAAGAAAAGTAAGTTTAGACAGCTAGCTCCTTACAAATGCAAAAATCACGGTTTCAAATAAGCAAGGTGAAGGGGACCATATTGTTGCAGATTTCAGAAATCTTAGATATAAATTTCAGCTGGATAGCTGTTGAAGTTAGATGAAAAAGAGACAGTCGGAAATACTAGCTATGGTGTAGAATATTTTACCCTTCAGAAGAAAGTAAAAGGCCCTGAAGGACAGACTTGAAAGCTCTTGCAGCGGTAGCACTAAGGCACATAACGAATCCAAATAAGTGAAACCCTGGCTCACCCTGTAATCACCAAGAAAATCTTGAAGCTCCATAGAGGCAAAATGAATAAACACGGAACACAGAAAGGAAAATATGCACCACGCAGATCCAAGGGAACTACTATTACTAGCCAGTCATTCATCAAATTAACAAATTATATTGGGTGTGCATGCAATACACTGAATGCCACTACAATTGAGAAGCAGATAACTAAAAAGAGCCTAATTCATGACAAGCTTCAGGGAGATATCGTAATCGTATATATAACCTGATTAAATGAAAAAAAAAAATATAGCTATCTGATATAAGCTGATAAACTAGAACCGTGCAGATCCAAAAAGAACAAAGAAAAGCATAACAGAGAATAATGTCAAGAAGCACCATTGACCCAGTGTCCTGAAATTTCACCATCTATTTCATGTGAGAGAAAAAACAGGAAAAGGAAAAGAAGAGCCCTCCCCTTGTCATTGATTTGCAGTTCTTGAAAAGTTGAGATCTCATTAACTTCTCCGGTGGCAATTCATGACAAATAATTTCCTTGTAATTTTCAAACAATCACAGACCAACTAAATCGCACAAACAATCACAATCCAATCTGGCCAACATCACTTCAGATCTGGAGTGGCACATGAAACTTGATACAGTATTGAAATGTCTCCATAGTTACACAAACACCCTTCACAAATCAGTAATCAAGGCCCCTATCCCAATCTCAAAAGGAAACACACACCCATGATTAGTCACAACATTAAAATACAACAAAACATTCGAAATGACTGAGATTAGGAAGAACCGAGCATACCCCACTTGCAATGACAACCCCAGCAACAACAGGAACAAGGGCAGCATACGTAACCCAAGCCTCTCTCTTAAGGGTAGCCAAATAGGCAAAGACAGCAGTGAAAAAGGGTGTGGTTGCCCCGACCGCCTGGTTGAAGGACACGGCGAGGTACCTGAGGGATATGTTGCCACCCACAACAGAGGCACAGAAGACAAGACTCAAAGTTGCAATCTTCATGAACTGGGACCTCGATTTGATCATCTGCTGAGGCACCACCTTGAAGAACACAATGGAGATATAGCTGAAAACAGCACAGGCTGACATGTGGCACATTGTGAGGAAGATGGGGAACTTGAACCCATAGTTTGAAAGCAGGTACTTGTTGAGAAGGATCACACCAATGTTTGAAGAGTACCAAAGTGTCACCAGAAAACATATGAACAGATTCTCCTTGCTGTTGGAGGACATTGTCTTCCCGCTCTTCCCTCCACTCC